GAATAAATAGTTATTCCAACTCCGCTTATGAATACTTCTCACGAAATACCTGATCAAGGTAATTTACAGTGTTATCTCTGTAAAAAATGCACCCATGAAATTTATATTTTACATTTTCTGAATAATGTACCTTTTATTTTATAAAATCCTTCAAAAACTAAAATAAAACATTGAACCTGTTTACCCTTTGACCTTCACAATTTACCCCGCTTATGGGGTAAAAGGGACCAAACTCTTGAAAAATAGCAAAAAGCATATTTCTACAATGATGAAGTAGCTGGTAATTTTACTGAACATAGTCAGACTGTTGTTTGCTTGATATGTGTTATTTGTTGTGATAAAATTGGGTTGGTTTTCAGAATATAGTTGTTCAAAGTCTAATTGGACCTTTGTGTCCCGCCCAACCCTATATCATATTTGCGTAAGGTGCATCTATATACTCAAAAATAAATATGTGGTAATTTGATTATAAAACAATTCTAAAAACTCTGTCTTTATATTTATGTTATCAGTTTGACGAACGCGGATGTATGTCTAATTTATGTTACGTGCAAAAACCCAAAACATTTTAAATACTGATTATTTAAATTTTGTGACATTGAAAATAAATTGCAATTGTGTCATCATTTACAAGGAGAGTAAAATATCTAATCAGTTTTTTTTAATTCTGAATCGATTGAGTATCAAACCACACAAAATAATTTGTCACATATGTTATCATTAAATAAATATAATAATGGAAAATTTGCATATTAAGTTATCAAAATTAAATTATTAAATTTGTTTACAAACTTGACTTGACCTAAAAACTGTTTTTCAAATGCCTTTTCAAGATCAAATAAGAAACATTTTTTAAATGGTGATTGCACATGTTTGCATTGCCATATTTCCATGAATTTTTAAATCTTACTTATAAGTATAAATATAATTAAGTATAATATAATTATAAGTATAAATATAGATATTTAAATATAAGAAATATAAACTATGAGATGAGCATTCACAAAAGAAAAATGATGGATAATTATATTTCATCTTTTTTGTATGTGATAATTTTCATTTTTCATTTTATAATAACATGTTTTTAAAGCTAATTCAAAAATATTTATTTCTGTGGTTTGCCTTTTCCGGGATAAATTGCTGAATAATGACTCATATCAAATTTTGAAACGTATAAATAGAGAATTATCAATATTAATTTATTTTTTAATTCGATGAATTGGTATCTATATATAAACATATTTGTACGAACAAAGCAATTATAACGGCAAAGATGTGTCAAAGACTTTCTTGAAAATATTATTTATAAGTTGATATCGGTTATCTCGCAGAAAGAAAAATATTTTCGCAAAATTCAAACAATATCATTAAAATAATTTTAACTGATAAAAAAATAGTTAAGTTTATGTTTCTTATCTTTTGTCTCTGTTCAATCTTTTGTTCAAATGAAATTCTTAATTTTTTTACATGTTTTTGGAAATGTAGATTTAGAATGTATTATTATTATATTATATATATCAAAATGTGTAAAATTAGATGATGGTTGAAATTCAGCACACATTCAGTGAAGCGATAATGCTTAATAAGATAAAATCATGTTCTGAAGATTTCCAAATTTGCTAAAAGTTCACTTTTTATATTTTCAAGTCAGACAGAGTCATAAAAGTAGATAACGGTCAGGAGTTTAAATTTGATTAGCATGGCAATAAAATTTACGCTAAAATGAAGCGATTTTTCAGATATAACTGATTAATAATAATAAATAATAATAGTTGTTAGACTTTGAGCAACTATATTCTGAAAACCAAACCAATTTTATCACAACAAATAACACATATCAAACGAACAACAATCTGACTATATGTTCAGCAAAACTGCCAGCTACTTCATTGTAGAAATGTGTTTTTTGCTGTTTTTCAAAAGTTTTGTCTTTTTTACCCCATAGTCGGAGCAAATTGTGATGACCAGGGGGTAAGTAAATAAATTCTTTTAACAACTACAAACTGACTACTATTAAGTTTATATACTATATTAAAATGCATATTTTTTCTGGGAATACCATAGATAATAGTAATCACAAAGTTAGATATTTTTAATAAAAACAGTAATTAAATGTTTTCGATGTGGATTAGCTATAAAGAAATTACACAAAAAATTAATATAGTACATATAACTTCCCGAAGAAGAAGCTTTATGTTTACGCCAAAAAATCCGTCTTGCTATAATTTCATTTTTTTCTCGACGTTTCAAGTCATTCTGAATTGCTCAAGACCAAAATTTTGGACGAAATTTTTTACGATAATGGAAAACATAAGAAATATTTTAAAATATTATGGCCAAGAAGCTTTATGTTTACGCCAAAAAAATTAGGCTTGCTAATTTTATTTTTTCTCGACGTTTCAAGTCATTCTGAATCGCTTTATACCCAAAATCTAGATGAAATTTTTTACGATAATGGAAAACATAAGAAATATTTTAAAATATTTTGACAAAGAAGCTTTATGCTTACGCCAATAAATCCGACTTGCTAATTTTATTTTTTCTTGACGTTTCAAGTCATTCTGAATCGCTTCAGACCAAAATTCTGGATAAATTTTTTTACGATAACGGAGAACATAAGAGAAATAAATATTATGGCCAAAATGTGTATAATGCTTACTCCAAAAAATCCGATTAATTTTATTTTTGCCCGACGTTTCAAGTCATTCTGAATCGATTTAGAACATAATTTTGGATGAATTTTTTGGATGATAATGCAAAACATGGCCTTAATAAATATTTAAAAATATTATGGCCAACACGTTTAATTTTAAAAATTTATCGAACAAGTAAGATAAGCAGCGCTTTTGTGTAGTAAGCCAAAATTCGATTTTTTTTCTTATCAGAAACGGCTGAAACTATTAAGAAAATTTAAAAGCCATTTAATGAAACTCGATAAGGACTTGCGTCGATTAGTTTTGCGAGACGATCGGTAGAGCCGTTTCTTAAGAACTCGCAGAAAAGCGCAAAATTTTTAGTGCACTTTTTCACAAACAAATCCTGATCCAATTAAAAAATTTAAAAATCGTTCGACAAATATTAATTAAAAACGCTTTGATTACTTATTAGTGAAAGCGAAATTTATGAAATAAACTGTTGAAAATGTTATCTAAATAGCTAATTTTAAATTCTTATTTATTAAGTCGACTACTTACAAGTTTCGGAGAGTTCGTTCAACTTACCTTAAGGCAAAATGATATTTACACATAGTTTACACATTTATTTAAGGATCATTTTGAATTATTTCGTCATCTCTATACAGAAAAAAACTGTTTCATATTGCAACATTGTGCAATATGTTGCGCCAATGAGATCACGAAAGTAAAAGTAGAGAAACAAAACACAATCATTATAACAAAAACGGGTTCATGAACATTACGTGAAAAGTCTACTAATACAAATTATCACAAATATTATCAAATTTCTATAAATACTTAAATAAACAAATAAATACAAATAGTGATCATAATGTTTACTTACGATTTTTCTATTTTTTTCCTGTTTTCACATGTATTTATTTAAAACTTTGTAATCATCTTTTACAGATTACAATAATATTATTGATACACTAACAACATTAAAATAGCACGCACGAATTGATTTATTTTTATTATTTCTTAAATGCCATTGTTTTCTCGCCTGTCACTGTCACTCACTGCCGCGACATAGAATCAACAATACTGAACGGCAAGATCGGTAACTAACTAGTAGGTAAGAATCTTAAGTAGCTGCGACGGGAACCAATGAAATGCAAGTTGGGTGCATTGTTTGGCATCGTGCCTTAAGGCAAATTGCTGGAACATCCCATACCGCAATTAAAAATCTTGGTACGGAACCCAAAAAAATTTGCACAAAATGTGTACACATTTTTAAAATCTCTATAAAATATCTGATGATGTATATATGTACAATAAACATTTTTGACCGCAAAATGACATGTTTTAAACTTATTTTTATTGAGAGGCCATAACCGCTGGACCTGCCTTCCCAAAAATTTAATCAGTTCTTCATCTCGTCAATGCAAGTGAAATCTTTTTTGAATTATTAAAATCTGACGCTCCGTTCTCTTGAAAACCGAGTTACCGTTTCTGGCACTTTTTGCCCCGTATCTTCAGAACGGCTAGACCTGCCTTTGCCAAAAACTAATCAGCACGTCTCCTTATTAATACAAATCGAATGTTTTTTTAATTATTCAAATCGGTTGATCGGTGTTCCCGAAATCGTCGACGAAAATTTGTATCCGCACACACACATGCATCCATATTTTCTAAGGAATGCCAAAATGTGCAAAAACCTTTGAAACGTAAAGATAGATAAAAAATTTCATTTTCGATTTTTTTGCGATTATTATAACTTACCCTACGGGAAGTTAAAAATATATGAAGTGCATTATACTTTAACAGCTCATATGGCTCATATATTTTTCCAAAAACATTACCATAAGTGAGTATGAAGATCTGGATATATCAGTGAATGAAAGTTTATAGATCATATATCGAAGAATAGTAATGTAACAAATGGTTTTCAAAATAAAATATTTACACTTGATAATAAATGCATTAAGAGATCACACACCAATTAACTATGAGCATGTTTATTTGCTTTATTTAAAATATTAGAAATAAATTATGCACTATGTGCACCCAGTTCGAGATAAAAGTTAAATACAGCTAACGATTTTGTAAAATACTATTTTGCTTTGCAAAAGTAAATCATCTTATAAATTTAATAACAGCACTAAATTGTGAATACTATTATACAAATAGTATTTTTTATATTCTTTGCAAATACATAAGTGCTAGAAAATAATCACAATTTTTTTTATGCAAATCTGGAATACAAAGTTAAAACAACAATTATATTGAAAAAAGGTTTAATAGAATTGATTACCAATGCAACTTAAAACAAGCGTAAAAATAACAAAGAAATATTTGAATTAAATATAGTTTAATAAAGCCAATTGTTTAATGTTATAATAAAGTGCTAAGTAGTGCAATGATGATGAAATATGAATTCGAATTAATTATCATTATCCTTTCAAACTGCTCATTCCAGCCCTCATAATTTCATCGACCAGAAGAATGTTGCTAGCAATGACTGAGCAGGAGTTAATAATTTGTTTTTTGACAAGGTAATTGTCATATATTCCTAAATCCACGGGTTTAACAGCATTTCCAGAAGCCAAATCTAATCCAATAGCATCTGAGCTAAGACGATCTTCCTCTTGAAGTTTTACAATCGATTCTTGTGCGTCATAACCAGAATTAACAGCCAGGACTTTTGGGATAATTAATAAAGCTTCAGCATAGGCTTGGATTCCTAGACGCATCTTTCCTTTGACATTATTCTTATGTTTCATCAATTCATTATGAGCACGGATTTCAAAAGCACCTGCTCCAGGTATAACACACTTATCAATTACAGCATTGTTAACAGCTCTAAGACCATCCCTTACAGCATCCTTAATTTGGGTCAAGGTGTATTTATTGGCACCCTTAATTAATACAGTTACTGATTGTGGGACTTTACAATCCTCAACAAAAGTAAATTTATTTTCACCCAAAACATGCTCATATACAACACCAGCATAACCTAAATGAGATTCATCTAATCCATCAACCGAATTCATTGCAGTACCTCCACAGGCTAAAGCTAAACGTTCCATATTACGCCTCTTGGCACGACGTAAAGCCATAATATTTTCTTTAGCAAGCATGTCTAGAGACATTGGGTCAATTCCCTTTTGATTTATTATGACAAAGTTCTTGTCAGTCCCATCACAAAGTTTTTTCTTGAGATCAATTATCTAAAATTATAAAAAGATCAATTATATTAATATTTATATTTATATTAAACATATATGCTAAATGATATAAAGTAGCATATTATTATCATGTTAGTAAAATGTTTGAATAATTTGAAATAGTACATTATTGACCTAGAAAGAAGCTTTACTAAAATATTAGAAATTACAAATTGTGATTGCAGATAATCTCCTAAAATCATACTTTGAATACATATTTTATAAGTATTTATAATCATACTTTTAGGTGATTGTAATTAATTATAACTTTTTGAATTATAATTTGATGATCAAATAAATGTTAAAAAATTATAACTCCATATTTACTTAAATACTTTTCATCCTGGTATAAAAATTAACAATAAAGAGTATCTAATACATACTGCTTGAACTCTTTGTTCAATGAACTCCCTTTCGGCAAGTACTAATTTCTCTCTATCAGCAGCTGACTTGTAGAAGAATCCAGAATTCACTTCCGACTTCTCATACTCCATTGAGATGTTGCAAGTTAAAATATAACAATTTTCAAGACGTTTAGGCATATCAGGGTGTCGACTACCATGATCCATGACCAGACCTGAAAAGCAAAAAATAAAATAAAATACATTTTATAACCAAGATCTAGAATTAATTATCTATTAAAAATGAGTCATTAAAATGAATGCTCTACAAAAATTGTACAATAAAAAAAGCAGGACTCACTGATCCTTAAGCTATTTCCAACTTTTGGATCATGAATTTAGTATGATACAGCAATGTTACTATTATAAATATTATGATCATCCTACCTCTGATAAGTGTGCTGTCAGCTCCACTTTTATGTTGCATTTCCATTATTTCTACCATATGCAAATCAATAGGTTTATCTTCAACACGGATGGCTAATACTGCATCTACACAGACTTCGGTTAAGACATCAGCAATTTCAGGATGAACCTAAACATAAAATCCATAAATTTACTATATAGTTATGAATTAGCAAACTATATTATATTACTGTATAAAACCAGTAAAAAAATAAATAAATAGTTCTAAATCTAAAAACAATTTCAGTTTCAATTACAACAGCATTAATTACATAAAGTATGTAAATGTAGTAAATAAGCTTCATTTAATAATATTTGAGGATTTATATCAGCTCATATAAAAACATAAAAGTATAGACATAATAAAAATTTAAAATGACAATTCAATGAGTAAAGAAATGAATAACCTTTGTTCTTAAAGAAGTTCTAGCAATATCCATAAGTTTTTCTTTTGTAATCTCAATCGGAACCTTCATGGTATTCAAAACTTCTAAAACTTTCTCACGAGCTGCATCAAATCCTTCAGTGACAATGCGTGGGTGAAGCCCTTCTGATATATAAATATCAGCTTGTTTGAGGAGTTCACCTTTAAAAAAAATAAATGAATTAATACAGTATATTAAGAAAAATAGTTTTATCAACATATTTTATTTTGTGAATACCTATAAGCAAAACTGTGGAAGTTGTTCCATCTCCAGTCATGTCATCTTGAGCAGTGCTGGCACGAGCAATTAAAGATGCTGTAGGATGTTGAATTTGCATTTCATGCAGCAGTACATTTCCATCCTTTGTTATTTTTATATCACCAGCACCAGAAACTAACCTGAATTGATTTTTATTAAATTACTTTCCTCTAAATAATATGCCACTTTTCTGCTATACCGGCTGTAATTACTAGTTGATATTTCTGCATAAATTCTGAATAACTAAATGTATGTAAACTTATATATATAAAAGTATGTATCGTTTTATTATCGAAAAAAGAAAAATCAATTACAGCAATATCAGACTTCTTGTACTATATATTTCTACATTTCTGATCTATTTTAGAACAATAAAATACTGATACTAGATCGATGACATAAATTTGATCTGGAAGATTCTTGTTAGGTTATGGTTGCACATGCAACATAAACATGTTGTTTCTTTAATAATAGAGCATTGTAAATAATGGTGTAGTATTTTTTACTTTGGAATGAACAAAAATTATGCATATTTCATAGGCTCATGTGATACTATGTAGCATGTGAGCAAATTGTGCAAGCCGCACCTACCATAACCAAAAATTCTCTTGCGCATTATGACAGGTAATCACATTAAATATGATAAAAAATTATGCTCAATTACATTTTCATTGTTCCTTTAGGACCCAGGTTCGTTTTCATAATGTCCTGAATTCCTTTGGCAGCAGAAATATTTACTGCCAACGCTTGAGCAGCCCTTGCAAATTCAGCTTTTGGATTTAACAGACTTATAGCAGCCATTTCGAATTATTGTTTTAACACTTTTTAAATATTGAAACCTTTTACTAAATCAAATGCTATGAAGCTGAATTAAATTCACTAAATTTGAAACAAAAGCATCCAAAATTTGTACGATTAGCAAAGGTTACTTTGTTAATCTGAACACAAGAACACGACATAGGCAGTTAGACACGAAATTATCTAGAAACACGATGGCCAATCGTGAACTGCAGAATTCAATTACAGAACAGATGCCTATGGATTATTAAGTTGGTACGCCATAGATAAGTAAACATAACTAGATCGCTATCTGAGGTCATTTGACATTACCGCCATTTTAATATTTTTAGCGATCTAAAGGAGGCAGCACTTGTTCAGTATATAAATCAACCGCTGGTATTATTCCTAGATATGGTTCGCATACGTAATTCAAAATAAGAAAACCTAAATAATTTCTTATATTGGAAATGAGAAAAAAAATATACGAAGTACAAAATATATTTTCAAATATATCACAAACATTTTTACATAACAATTAAAATTTTTATAAATGTAATAATCATTATATACACAATAATAAGTATTATAATTTTACATTTATAAATAACTAAAAAAAGTATTCACAATGGTATGATAAATTTACAAGGAACGATCAATATGATTTACTTAATGATCAATAATATATAACAGAGATTGTGTAGTTCGGAATAACAAATTCAGAAGGAATCACAAATAATGCAAAAATTTAAAAAGTTAAAAAGAACAAATAACTTGTTAAAAAGTACAAATACTTCATAAACAAAAAATCATAAGAACATAATATAATAATATTATAAATAATATTTATATATATATATAAATATATTGATATCAAAATTGAGAGTAAACTGAATTCCTAGGATCAAAATTCATTTAGGAGACATTCTTCTTTATTAACTCTGCATTTAATAGTTATTTTGCAATCTAATCAATCATTAATAAAGCTGCATTTGACGAAATCTTTGAATAGATTCTATATGAATGTTTTTTTAAACATTACATTCAACCGTGTCATGATCATGATGAAAACGTTATCATCAAAATTGCCATAAAAGATCAAAAAGTATCAACATTGTGTTTACTATGAACAGAAAAAAGTTTTATGCACGTGCAATTGTTCATCTACATCAACAATAAGAGATTTTAAATCAGAACTATTAACCCCACCTTCAGAAAAGTAAAAAGCAACTGGTTGCTTCCAACGATTCTTCACTCCTTTAATCATGAAAACAAGTGCATGATCCGGAAATAAACATTTTCTGCCATTTGCTAACTCTACAAAACCAACAATGTGATCCTTTTTACGATCATATGACAATTCTGAAGATAGTGATATTTCATCAAACATCAAAACACAGTATTTGCTACTCTCATACTTTTTATGAGAAATAGCTGAAATTAATGTATTAAAAAGACACTCATTTATACCGCTATACAAAGGTATCTCTGAAAGCAACTTTCTCAATGTTTGAGGAGATGGCAAAATAAATATTTGTCTCCAAAAGTAGTAAGCCTTTGGAGACTTTTTATACAAACTTAAAGCAAGAATTTTGTCCTCGTCTGTGAATTTTCTTCCTTTCGGTCTTTTAGTATGCTCTCTTAATTGAGACAATATAAAATTTCTTGCCCTTACATTTAGTGTTTCCGGAATATTTGAAAACTTTTCAGAACATTGTATACTTTGTTGCAATTTATCCCTTAAATTATTACATTGTTTGTTAATTCTTCTTATCTCCCAGAACAAAATTTTGGATGTATCATACATTTTACACCTCCTGGTGTAAAGCAACGAACAGAGTTAAAGCACTTCTACGTTTAATCAGTGAATACTGAAGCAATTTGCAGTTACCTCCTAGGACATCTATTAAATATAATAACATGTTGTAATATCACAATTGATTAATTAATTATTATTGCTGTAATTAATATAAAAAAATACCTTTCCGGAAAACTGGTGTCAGAATAGGTGACAGTTTTAACCCGCACTTGACAATCTTAGGGGTACTGCAAAAATCTTTTCTGAGGTTTTTAGGTCTCCATCTCCTAACTGAAAATATAAGATTAATTTGTCAGTAATTTTCTGCAAAAAGTATGTGTTCCATAAGTAAGTTCCATAATGCTCAAAGAAGCTATCAAAGAAGCTAACAAAGGAAGCATATTAATGTATAAATTATTAAAAAAAAGGTAGAGTACCTGAGTTAAGTGAGCAACAATATCATGTAAAATTAATGTCTAAACACTTGTATTTATCTACCTGAGATGGGATTAATATTCTTTGACAATCGGTATGTCTATGCTTTCACATTACATTTGCGAATCGACACACCAAGTTCTAAAATAATATAAGTTTTTTAAAATCTAACTATCAAATACATATATAAATTTTATTATTATTCTTACGGAATCTATGTTTATCCAGGAGACAATTCTCTTCTAAGTAAGGATTCCCAACAAATCGGTAGGGCATTAATTTTCAAATTTGTCTTCGAACTTTTTGGCAAATTTTCAACTTTACAAACATTTGTAAAGTGCGCGTCACAGACATAACAACGTTTGCCACAATATAATGGAGTTAAATCGTCCATTAAAGGATTATTAGACCTCTGCACCCAAATTGAAAACATCTAAAACATTTTCATTATATTTTTATTATACAAATTTATTATATAAACACAATACATCATTATATACATACCTGATCATTAGATGCCGGAAAGACATGCAACTTTATATTATTTCTGGAGTTACCACAATTTGTTTCACTGCACTTTGCCATATTAATTTGATAATAATTCCTTGAACACAATTAATTATAAACAAAATACTTCACAACGTAAATAAATGCTTCACTACGGCTTCACTATATAAGAAGGTAAAATGGCGATTAATTTCAGCTCAGCCATCTATTTTCTTTTCGATTAATGAGATTGAAACAAGTAGCGACATCTTTTTTTCGCTAAAAATATTAATCCTCGCCAAAACAGTGTAACGAGCATTTGTTCGGAGATAACTCCCCATGTGGTACGCTTTCTTCACAATCAATTATTTTATCGATTTATCGATCGATCGATCTATCGATATCATTTAAAAAAAAGGATGGTTGGCTTCTTAGCTAATACAAAGTTTTCATTCTCTTATCTATGGTTTATTTAGTTTGTTAATGTCGTTAAATTAATCATTCGTTTTAATATTGAAAAATTAAATACTCTTATATGAAATCACAATGTAATTGGCACAAAGTATGATCATGACCATGACAATATTTATTTATTTTTAAAATTAAATTAAGGTATTTTAAAATAGCGACATTGACAAGTGCTTTTCATTAAAAATATAAGTAAATGTCTTAAAGTGAAGAATTAATTGATGTGATATTTGTCATTTCATATTATGAATATCATTATAGTGCTACTAAGATACTAAACCTAAGCCATTGTTAAGTTCCTATAGAAATCCCCAAAATCAGGCTTAAATCGGGTAACAAATTAATTGTTTTTTTATATTCTTATTTTGAAATTTCGTAAAACTCAGTTCAGTTGTAATTGCCTTTCTTAGTTATTAATAAATAAAAACTATTCGAAGTTGAAAATTTAGACTTCTTCAGAAAATTGTGAACCAATTTTGTTAAATGAAAATTTATTCGTAACAAATAATGAAAGAAATGTGCAGTAAAATAAATATCACTCGAATTGTTTTTTTGACAAGAAGAGATATTTATAGTTCTTTCTAAAATTTACTAGTTTGTCATTCTCATTAAAATTGACATGCCTTCAGTAAAAATTGGTTTAATTCTATTAAATATTAGAAAATAGATTAATTAGCAATTTTTTTACTGTGTAAATGTTTTTACTAGATATTCATTATTGTTGATCAACTAGTAAATTGTTATAACTAACTCATTATTATTATTTTGTCTAGATAAACATCATGGAATTAAACACAAAGAAATGGAAGGCTAGTACAAAATCATATCGGATAATCACTAAGTAAATGTATTATTGTTGAGGAGAGAAAACTGTATTAAGAGCAGCTGTAATGGTAAGTAACAAAACAGTTAAAAGTATGTTGAATGTAAGTTACTTGTTTGTGAAATTGTTTGTTTGTTTGATTGTGAGCGTGAAATTGGAAGTGGCCAAACATGGAATTAGGTGAACATAAAACTCCTAACTCCCTCGAGGAGACTGGAAATCTTTTCTGTCTATAACTTCAAGAAATTTAGAGTATATTAACATATTTTTTTTAACACCGATAAGAACTACTTATTTTTTGAGCTGTGTTTGCTATCGTAAAGTCAAACCAAGTATTTTTCTTGAGAGGGTAACTAGACCGCAAAGGTCAACTACTATTCTTATTTATGTGCAGACTATATATATATTAGATATATATATATATATATATATATATATATATATCATCCAAAATGACATTTTCACTTGAAATTCTATTCAAGATTTATAATCTCGATTGAAAATTTTGTGTTTTACTGCTGGACACATTGTCGAGGAGAGAAAACTGTATTAAGAGCAGCTGAATTGGTAAGTAACAAAGCAGCTAAAAGTATGTTGAATGTAAGTTATTTGTTTGTGAAATTGTTTGTTTGTTTGATTGTGAGCGTGAAATTGGAAGTGGCCAAACATGGAATTAGGCGAACATAAAACTCCTAACTCCTTCGAGGAGACTGGAAATCTTTTCTGTCTTTAACTTCAAAAGATTTAGAGTATATTAACATATTTTTTTTAATACCGATAAAAACTACTTATTTTTTGAGCTGTGTTTGCTATCGTAAAATCAAAACAAGTATTTTTCTTGAGAGGGTAACTAGACCGCAAAGGTCAACTACTATTCTTATTTATGTGCAGACTATATATATATATTAGATATATATATATATATATATATATATATATATATATATATATATATTTCATACAAAATGACATTTTCACTTGAAATTCTATTCAAGATTTATAATCTCGATTGAAAATTTCGTGTTTTACTGCTGGACATTGTGCTGGCCGATGTTGGAATCGATTCCGAAACTAGTTTGTGTTCAACCATTACATCGTTTATAATAATATTTTGAAAATGATAAATAAAAAATAATACATAGATCAAACCTTTTGCATAATAATGGCATAACGAGTGAAGAAACATATATTAAATATCATTTAATTATTA